AAAAAAAAGTTCAGAATTTCCAAAATATTTTAAAATACACTTTTCTTCAAAAAGTTTTTTTTCAAAAAAAAAGTAAATTTTTAACAATAATTTGTAGTTTCTCAAAAATCTAATTTTTCAGAGTAAATTTTTTTCAAAAATGTTAATCTTTAAAAATAAAAAAAAATTGATACGGGAAGTTCCGGCAATTTGCCTTAAGGCACGATGCCATGCGCCCTACTAGTTTTTCTTTTTTCACTAGATCTCGGAAACCGCTCCAGTCGTTTTTGAATTATTAAAATCGGACACTCCGTTCTCTTAAAAACTGAGTTACCGTTTGTGGCACTTTTTGCCCTGTATCATCGAAACGGCTAGACCAGCCTATGCCAAAAACTAATCAGCTCTCCTTATCAACAGCAATAGAATGTTTTTTGAATAATTGAAATCGGTTGAACCGTGTTCCCGAAATTGTCGACGAAAATTTGTATCCGCGCACACACACACATACACACACATACACACACATACATACACACACATACATACATTTTTTTAAGGTATGCCAAAATGTTCAGAAACCTCTGAAACGTAAAGATATATAAAAATTTTCATTTTCGATTTTTTTGCGATTATTATAACTTACCTTACGGGAAGTTATAATAATAAATTTGATTACCATATCTCAAAGGATAAAATGTGTGAGAAGTGTGCCTTAATGGCACGGTTTATGTTTTCGTAGAGCTTTTGTTATATGTAGCAAATTTTCACCTTGGATCTATGTTTTCTCAAAAATAGATTAACCGACCTCAAAAATTGTAAAGCCATTCAATGAAACTCAATGCTTTAGTTTCACTCAGAATTTGCAGAAAACTGCATTAAATTATGAAATAGTTACACTAAAATTAAAAAAACGACATTATAATAATAATGTAGGAATAATGAAGTGTCAAAACTTCAAAGTTCTATCATAAAATTGAGCTAAGTTAAAAAAGTTGCTAATTCTCAATTAAATTGATCATATGTCCAATATGTATATATTAAATACATATAAATCTACTCATATATATATATATATATATATATATATATATATATATATATATATATATGTATATATAATTAAATTTGAAATAAGTATCTGATAGCAATGACAGCACTAGTTTGCTATTTTTGTACTTTTACGCTCACTGTGAACAAAGTCCACAATAGTCATCGTTGGCAGGAAGGTTTTTTTCAAATCATGATTTATTCATAAGGATCATTAGAAAATCAATGCAAATCGTTTTTATTGACACTGAAATACTATTCCGTCAGGTACATATTTTGTAATGTAATTGTTTTCAATCATATATTATATTGTTTTAAATAATATAGCGGATTTGAATAAACAGACTACAAGCTAAGACATGATACACATTGTTAAATTAAATCAAAGGGATAAAAAATAAATAGATCTAAATAGTAAAAGTGCTCAATCGAATGACCTTATCTAAAATCTACATAAAAACGTATGTTTTTTTCAATTTTAAAGCGAAACTTAAAATTAAGTAATTATATTCCTAGAGGTCAATTGCATCTCGAGGGGTTTTTATTTCCCTTCATTCATTTGGATCTATTGATAATAGTAGAAAACCAGCACAAGATAAATATTTAATTACCATCAATTGATATCCAATAATCACTTTATAGTCGTTTTTATGAATTTTTCTTTCCAAACTTCTGCTTCCATGCTTCCTGGTCATGTGCTTTGGCTTTCAGTTTGCTGTATTTCCTCTTCTCACGTAAGTCGTCAATCGTCTGCATTCTTCTTCTTCCCAATTCTTTCAGTCCTCCTATTTTGACTTCAAATTTGTTATCTTGTCAGTCCACTTTATCTTCTCCGTTCGCTTCCAGCACCACATTTAAACTCTTCAGATAGATTTTGTCGGCATTTCTCAGAGTGTCTATGTCTCTAATCCGTACAAAACTATACTCCAGATATAGCACTTCATCAATCTCTTCCGCAAGTCAAGACTTAGTTTGCTCGTCAGTAGCGTTCTTTTCTTCGTGAATGCGTTTGCAATCCTTGTCCTGATCTCTCTTGCAGTATCCGTCTCTGGTCAGATGCTTGAAATAATCAACATCTTCCAATTCTCGATTTCTTACTGTTATCTTCAGAGAATCATCTCATTTTGATACTCATCACTTTCGATTTGTCGACGTTCCGTAGCTTCTGCCCACTTCAACGATTCTTATCATCATGTTTTGTAGCTCGGTTGCGGTTTTCGATATAACCACGAAATCATCGGCGTACTTTATGGAAGTGATTCTTTTTCCTCCAAAAATCTCCTGCTCCTTCAAGCGCCTCGTTGACGAGCCATTCTCCGTACATATTGAATAGGATCGGTGACATGCAGCATCTTTGCCGCAATCCTCTCCTTATTTCAACGCTATTTATGTCACCTTGATTGACTCGAACCTTCAGTTTCTATCCAATATAAAGATTCTGGATCAGCCTGCGGACTCGCCAATCGATGTCAGTAGCTTTTAAAAATTCCATAAATGTATTCCAGTTCACTCTGTCAAAGGTTTTTTTCCAAACTATGGAGCAGAAGCAGATGTTCTTGTTAACGGAGCATCCGATTTGAATGATCTAAAAAACATTCAATTAGTAATGATTGGGAGAAGGGGTTATTAGTTTTTCGCAAAGGCAAGCCCAGCCATTTCGGAGATACAGAGGTAAATGTACAAAAAATGGCAGTTTTTGAGAGAACTAAGCGTCCGATTTAATTGATTCAAAGAACTTTCCGCTTGTCTTAACAAAATAATTGATTTTGGTAAAAAAAATTTTGTACCATTTTTTTTTCTTTTTTTTTTTTAATTTTTTGTATATCGAAAATAATTCAGATTTTATTTTTAATTCTGACTACAGTTCTAATATACTTTAAACAAATAATTTCAACTCTGCAATTCAGTTTATATAATTCTTATAAATATTAGACAATGTTACAATATTTATAATAATCTATTTGAAAACATTCAATATTCCTCGAACATTTCGTTACGGTACGGGAAGTTCCAGCAATTTGCCTTAAGGCACGATGCCACCCACCCCACTAGTTTAATTACATTTTATGTAAATATATATAAACTTCGTCATCAATTTATAAGCTATGTTCTGTCTATAAAATACGAACTAGTGGTGTAAGGCATTGTGCCTTAGGGCAAGTTGCTGCTACTTCCCGTAACCTAACGAAATGTTCGAGGAATGTTAACTTAGACGATGACGCGGCGCTTACGCGCTTCGATATTTCGTCTCTATGCAGTTAAAGCAGTACGATCGCTTTGAAAAAAAAGTTCAGAATTTCCAAAATATTTCAAAATAAAGAAAACATTTTGCTTCAAAAAGCCTTTTTTTTCAAAAAGAGTAAATTTTGGTCAAAAATTTATAGTATCACGAAAATCTAACTTTTTCAATAATCAAAATAATTTTTTGTCAAGAATGTTAATCTTTTACAATTTTTTTTTTGTACGAGAAGTTCCAGCAATTTGCCTCAAGACTAGCATCGTGTCTTAAGGCAAATTGCGCCCCACTAGTTTGATCATTCAAATCGGGTGCTCCGTTCTCTCAAAATCTTGATTTTTATATTCTGCACTCTTTGCTCTGTATCTCCGTAACGGCTGAACCTACCTTTGCCAAAAACTATTCAGCAGATGTGATATCAATAGGAATCGAGTTTTTTTGAACCATTAAAATCGGCTGCTTCGTGCGGCCGAAAACGCGAACGAAAAAATGCGGACACTAAAAACACGCACACGCACATACACATATCCATTTTTTATATTTTATTTTTGATTTTTGGCCCATTACTATAACTTATACTACGGATAAGAAAAACATGATGCCTCTTAAAATGAACAAATAAAAACTATACCAAAAATTCATGAAAAGTATTAGATACGATGCAAGGAGTGCAGAAAATAGAAATCGAGTTTTTGAGAGAACGAAACATGCGAGTTGATTTCTACAAAAAACATTCAATTTGTAATAATGGGGAGAGGTAGTCTTTAGTTTTTGGTAAAGACAGGTCCAGCGTTTCGGAGACACGGAGCTAAATGTGCAAAAAATGTCAGTTTTTGAGAACTAATTGTAAGCATCCGATTTTTATGATTTAAAAATTTGTTTGCTTGTATTGACAAAACTATTGTTTTTGGGGATTTTTTATGTTTTTTTTTTAATTTCTAGAAAAAAAATTTTTTGAATACCGAAAATAATTCCGATTTTAATTCTTATTCTAGCTAAAGTTCCAAAAAATCACTTATATATTCCAAATAATTAATTTTAACTTTGCGATTCAGTTTATATAATTCTTATAAATATTAAACGATTAATTTAATAAACTAATCTAATAATTTCCACTTTCTGCACTATTTGCTTCAAATCCCCGAAACGGCTGGACCGACTTTTGTCAAACACTAATCAGTACGTCTCCTTATCTATTGAAATCTATTGCTTTTTGAATAATTCAAATCGGTTGACACGTGCTCCTGTAAACGTGGACAAATAATTATATCCATACATAAGTACAACACATGCATACATATATTTTTTCTAAGGTGTGCAAAAATGTTCAGAAAGCTTTGAAATGTAAAAATATGCAAAAATTGTTATTTACAGATGACTATAATAACAGCCTACGGTAATTTAAAAAAAAAACAACTAACTGGCATTAAAAAAATGCAATTTGTTCAATAATTTACAGTGCCAGCTTGTGAGGACTTTTAAAGGATTTTTGATAAAAAGCACTCATATGACAATTATGACAGTTTGAATTGCTTGATTAGAAAAAAATATTATTAAATAAGATATTTTAAAATGATAAATTATAGTTATCTTAGAATTTGTTCAAGATTCTAGATATTTTATAAATCACGAATTACAATCTTTAAGTTATAAAGTATTTCAGGATAAAACATCAAGAACTAAAAATTGAAAAACTTGAAATGTAAAATTTGTATTTGTATAATTTCTTTCATTTCCAGGGAAGGTAATCACCCGGACGACTACAGCCGATTAACGTACCGGAAACTCTTAGAAGAAGTATGCAGATTTGCCAACGTTTTAAAAAATTTAGGAGTTCGCAAAGGTGACAGAGTATCTATTTATATGCCAATGGTTTTGGAATTGGCAATTGCTATGTTAGCATGTGCTAGAATAGGGGCTGTTCATTCGATCGTGGTAAGTGATATTTTGCTTCAACGTTTTGAAGTCAAGTTTAGTCCATTATCCATATTAATAACAATAAGTGCTTTAACCTGAAGGTAGTACGGTAGCAATATTTCTTCCTGGTATATTCTTTTTTGTTCAATCAATGAATCATTTTCTTTCACTGTATTACACATTTTATTATTAGACTTATTCTTTTTCTATAATTCTGCGCAGTGCTTGCTTGCTTTTCCATTTCCGGATTCTTACGGTCCGAAACATTCTAAATAGTTTAGATAGATATCAAAAAAAATGCTTTATATTTTCAGATTCTTATACATTCAAGTGAGGAAAACTGCTCAACAGTTAGCAAACGGCATTATAATATATTCTGGTATAATTCTTATAAGAGGTGGTTCGTGCTTATTAATCCATAAAATACTTGAAATCTTTTTAAATTAAAATTAGAATGAGCGATTGTTTTTACTCTCAATCAATAATAAAACAGCAATAAATGAACTTTGAATAACTTAATGGCTTCAAATATAAAATATATCAACTCAATCCATCTTGAAACATATACAAAATAAAATTAACCAATACACGAAAGGAACAAGATGAGCTTTCAAAATAATATAATTGGTAGTGAAAAGTAGTTTCTCACTTACCATGTCTTGTGTTCTACTATTGAGTTTTTATTTACTGATACAAACGCTATCAGTATCTTTTATCACCTACGTTTTCTGAAAACGATAAAAACGATATTTTTTAAATCACTGTCTTCCGTTAAATCAAATATGATCCAGATTATTGTTACTATAGAAAAATAGTGCTAATTTTTTTTTAATAGCAATCATTTACAATGTTATTACATATTTTGTCAGTTTGCAGGTTTTTCATCCGACTCTTTGGCCGAAAGAATGACAGACTGTCAAGCGAAAGTCCTCGTAACTGCTGATGGAGCATGGCGAGGTGAGAAACCATTACATTTGAAAGCTCTTTGTGACGTAGCTATGGAAAAAGCCGAAAAGCTGGGCCATCGCGTTCAAAAATGTGTGGTTGTCGCTCATCTGAAACGTGTCACTCCTGGAACCAGCGAGGAGATCAATGGAGTCGAGGTAATTTCATTGTTAAGCCCATCAGTTATAAGAAACACAATTGTAGCATTTTTGATCCTGGATTTGAAATTACTTAAATACCGTTTATGTTTTAATATTTAAATTTCTTTACCTTTTTTTTCCTAAATACAGACTCCTATGACAGATGGCCGCGACCATTGGTGGCATGAGGAAATGGACGAAGTTGAACCAGCATGTTACCCAGAATGGATGGCTGCTGAGGATCCATTGTTCATGCTTTATACAAGCGGTAATTTTACATACGCTTTAAAAATTTGAACTTTAAAAATTAAAACAATGCATTATCCAATTTATGTATATCTCTATTGCAAGGCTCCACTGGTAAACCGAAAGGGGTTCTACATACTACAGGTGGTTATCTATTGTATGCTGCCACCACATTTAAAATGGTTTTTGACTACAAGCCCGATGACATCTACTGGTGCACTGCTGATGTAGGATGGATTACTGGACATTCGTATGTTGTCTATGGACCATTAGCTAATGGCGCCACCTCCGTTATGGTCAGTCATTGGTGCTATCATAAATATCTCTTTAATTGATAATCTTAGTGAATTCCACTTAGTAATTAACGTAATAGATCATTTTGGTGTCACTCACAATGATCCTCAAATTGAAAATGCAAGTGACAGTCGTTATAACAGCTAAACTATACAGATTTTTAGATTGGGTCCAAAAGGATAAAAGTGAAGTATGATTGTTTGAGTAAGTTCAGTCGCTTTCGGTCAATGCCTTACATTTAGAGTAAAGATTAAACACAAAAAAACTCTAACTTAACTCAGACAAAATACGAAAAAAAGGAGAAGAAAAAATCAATATATAATAAAAAGAATTCTTGTTAACTATGTTTAAGCAATTATGTTTTGTAATATACTGTTTTATTTCTGTCATAAGTTTTGTTAACTTAGCTGAGGAGAAGTATATCATCAAGAAATCCGATTCGTTAATTTTATGTTTTCTCGACATTTCTAGAAATTCTGAATCGAATGAGACCAAATTTGGGAATATTTGGTATGTGGTTGCGCGTGCGTGAGTCAATTTTTGACCCATTCATTGACGTCGTCTCAAAAACGATTGGACCAATCTTAAAATTTTGAAAGCCATTCGATGTAACTCTATAAAAACTAGCGTTTGTCAGGTTTGCACGACAATAGGCCGAGCCGTTTCTTTGTACCGTAGCTTCCCTTATTCATTACATTTTATATAGTGCTGTATTTAAAATATCAACTTTATAACAAAAGAGCATTTCTCACACTTTCGAGATGATTTAATAAATATGAATATTATCTTATATATAAAAATGGATCGCAAATGTGTTGGTAACGCATAACTCAACAACGCCTGGACCAATTTGGCCAATTCTTTTTTTAATGTTCGTTGAAGTCCAGGTGTTTTGTTACGGCGAGAAAAAAACGAATAATTGCCGGGAAAACCCTAAAAACTTTTCTTCTTTAATCGAGTAGGCACGCAATTTGTAAAAAAAACAATGATCATTCATGACATTTTGTGTAGTTTTTGATACTAATTTTGAATATATTTATTAAACATAGAAATATCTTTCTATTAATCAAGCTATAGGCACCAAAAACATTGATGTAAATTAATAAATTTAAACAAGAACAATTACAGGTGAAATAGTTGATTCGGCAACTAACCAAGACGATCCACCGGAGTTTTTAAACTCGCTGGATTTGCTAGATTGTCACCTCACATCTTCATAAGGTATCGAAATTATAATTTGCGAAATTCGACCAACTATATTCAAAGGATAGCATAAAGTTGTTCTCGCACCATGCATCCCAATGCGTTTCCAGTGCGTTTATGGTCATTAAGTGTTTTGTGGTATTAATTTAGAAACATGTTCTCACATGGAAAATTGTATGTTTTTGTTCCCGTATTGGAAAACTCAGATTTGTTTGTCTATGCGCCAGTTAATCAAACAAAAAACATCGTCATCACACAGCACTTTTTACAGGTTAAAATTACTTACTTTAAATGCTATAGATTATTATTTTTAATTCACATTATACTAAAGACGTAGGCACAAAACACCGCCACATTACAATTTTTTTTGACAGGACGAAGTCTGTCGTATTTCCAATAATATGAGACTTTTTTTCCACGCCAAATCGTCACAACTAAATTTACCCTATTACAAGCTTGTTTTGTTAATAATCTGTAAATTCTTAACTTTAGAATCACATAGATTTCATCGAAAATATGCAGTTCTGTGTTTTTCGGTCATTTTTAACTTCTCCTAGGGTAGTTAACTTTCCGTAGGATAAGTTATGGTAATCGAAAAAAATCGAAAATGAATATTTTTGCATATCTTCACGTTTTGAAGGTTTCTGAATATTTTAGCATACTTTAGAAAAAAATTGATGTGTTGTGTATGTTTGTATACAAATTTCGTCCACGAATTTGGACGCATGAATCAACCGATTTGAATGATTCAAAAAGCATTTGATTCCTATTAATAAGAAGACGTACTGATTAGTTTTTGGTGAAGTTTAGCCGTTTCGAAGATACGTGCGAAATGTGCCACAAATAGTAATTTAGTTTTTGAGAGAACGGAGTACCCGATTTGAATGATTAAACTAGTGGTGTATGGCATCGTGCCTTAAGGCAAATTGCTGGAACTTCCCGTACGTAATTAAAAAAAATCTTGGTACGGAACCAAAAAAAAATTACACAAAATGTGTACACTTTGATAATATCTCTATAAATATCTGATAATTTGATGTAAATATGTCCAATAAATATTTTTGGCCGCTAAATGACATTTTTGTTCCATAAATTGTCGACGAAAATTTCTATCCGCACTCACACCCACATATACACATACACATACACACTCACATAAACATCCATTTTTTCTAATGGTATGCCAGAATATTCAGAAACCTTTGAAACGTAAAGATATATAAAAAAAATTATTTTCGATTTTTTTGCGATTACTATAACTTGACTGAAGCACATGGTCAAAAATATTCATTTAAAGTATATAAGTGAACTTTAAAACTTTAGCTAGAATTAAAATCAAATCTGAATAACTACAAAAAAAGAAAAAAATGAATGAAATTTTTTTCTTCAAAAGCAATTGTTTTGTCAACACAAGCTGAAAGTTTTTTGAATCATTCAAATCGGATGCTCCGATCTCTCAAAACTCGATTTCTATTTTCTGCACTCTTTGCTTTGTATCTCTGAAACGGTTGGACCTGCCTTTGTCAAAAACTAATCAGCAAATCTCCTTATCGATAGGAATCGAATGTTTTTTGAACCATTCAAATCGGTTGATCCGTGCGCCCGAAAACGTCACCGAAATATTGTATCCATACATACATACACACACATCATTTTTTTCCAGTATGACATTAAAATGTTCAGAAACCTTCAAAACGTCGAAAAATGCAAAACTTTTCATTTTCGATTTTCGGCCCGTTACAATAACTTACCTTACGGGAAGTTAATAAATTAATAAACAAAGAAATAATTAAATAAAATAATATTAAATAAAATAAAAATCGATGAATAAATCTAATGATTAAATTAACAAAAAATGAAATAAACAAGCGAGACGGTTCACCCGCATGATTAGCGATTATATCCAAAACCTTTAGGGATTGCCAGATAATAAAGTATTGTCTGATTCTTACAAATGTCATCTGGCGACATCTAACAAGAATTTGGCGCGAACATATATTATTACAAATACTTTCAGTAACTTTCATAATTTTTGCTATCTTGTTATATCTGAGCAAATCAAATGTAAATCATAAATAAATCAAGTTATCTCCAGAACATTAACAATCGTCATTTCATTTCGAATTCAATTTCAAAACAATAGTTGCCTCCAAAATTACACAAAATTGAAAAAGTGCTACCGTATAGCTGCTTAGATTGGCGGCATTTTCACATTTTTCAATAGTTTTCACAAAATTGTAAAAATGCTCCAGTACATAAACAGTCTATACGCACTTGGGTAAACATTTGTACCAGAAGGGTGCTTAGACTGTGCTTAGCCTGGGTGATTTTTTGAATTTTTAATCCAAAATTACAAAAAATATTTTTCGAAAAAAAAATTAGAAACTAAAATTTTTTTTGCAAAAGCAATTATTTTGTTGAAACAAGCAGAAAGTTTTTTGAATCATTTAAATCGGGCGCTTAGGTCTCTCAAAAACTGCCATTTTTTAACATTTAGCTCTGTATCTCCGAAACCGCTGGGCCTACCTTTTCCGAAACTAATAACCACTTTTCCCCGTCATTACGCACTGAATGTTTTTTGAATTATACAAATCGGATGATCCGTTCTCTCAAAAACTCAAATTCTATTTTCTGCACTCTTTGCTCCATATCTCCGTAACGGCTGGTCCTACCTTTGCCAAAAACTAATCAGCACATCTTCCTATTAATAGGAATCGAATGTTTTTAGAAACCATTCAAATCGATTGATCCGTGCGCCCGAAAACGTGGACGAAAAAATGCGGACATACAAAACACACACACACACACATCCATTTTTTCTGAGATATGCCAAGATGTTCAGAAACCTTCAAAACGTCGAGAAATGCAAAAATTTTCATTTTCGATTTTCGGCCCATTACTATAACTACCCCACGGGAAGTTAAAAAACATTTCACTTATATTGATAAAATATTTGGTATGGCAGGTCTAGCAGAAGATACAGAAGAAAAAGTAAAATAATGATATTTGGCCGTCAAAAATGATCATTAGACATATGCACATCAAGTTATTAGATATTTGATAAAAAATTTTAAAATGTGTACTAATTTTGTTACAATTTTGTTGGGTTTCGTACCAAGATTTTCTAAGCAATTTTTTTATAATTCAAATATTCAATAACGCAAAGTACCAGCAATTTGCCTTAAGGCACCTCGAGTGGAAATTTATTACGGCAAGCCCTAACACAGGTCCGGCCCCTATTATATAGGGCTGTACTCCGGCGTCCGTATTACGGAATTTAGTGCGTGGCCCTCATAGGAGCCACATATGAGCGGCCCTAATATGGTAATTTGAATAGGGTCCATAAAAGGCATGCCTGAATTCTGCCCTAACACGGATTGCCCTGTATTACCCCTATAACGTATAGCCCATAATATGATGATATGGGCCGTATTGGGAATTCATTACTAGAACGCTAATACGGCTTTCCTATTATTGAGACCGGCCGTATTTACGTATTACGATTTATTAAATTTTGTTAAAACAGAAACAATAGTACACATTTATTTAGGACAATTTCAGATTAAAGAAAAACAACTAAGCAAAAGAAAAGAAGAGTATTTTCCATTTTGAGCAATTTAAAGTTAATACAAATTTACAATACTCAATACGAGTTTAAATATTCAATTTATTTTTCTGATTAATTTTTTATTTAATTATTGTGATCAATATTGAATATTGAATATTTTAATGGATCATATTATTTATTTTAATAAATATTAATATTCAATTGATTTTTATGTTGTGATTGTGATTTATAATTTAATAAACTTACACGTGTCGAACTGATAATTTTATCAGTTCGACACGTGTAAGTTCGTTATCTAAACTAAACAATAGACACACTCATAACGCGCAACATAGATCCATTCATAAAATCGAACAGCTTCATATCAATCATGATATGTATTTGGCTATTCTCTAATGCTCTCACTGCCTTGAAGGCGAAGAAGT